CTCACCAGCAACAAGACAATTTTAACCAGTTTTATCCCATCAACTTGTCTGAGCTTTTAAAAACAGTATCACAAATGAGAGTGTCCTCCAGCCCACTTGATGTAATACCTACAAAGTTTTTACTGAAAGTAATGGATTCTGTTGGGCCCCATTTGATCTCTGTTTTCAACAGCTCCCTATCTACTGGTTGTGTCCCTGATTATTTTAAAACGGCTTGCGTGAACCCACTTTTTAAAGAAACCTGGTTTAGATCCCTCCCTCCATCTCAATATTAGACCAATTTCAAAACTAGAAAGAATTGTGTCCAAACAATTAGTTTCAGTTTGTTTCTCAAAAAGTTTCAGTCTGGTTTCAGGAAGTACCACAGCACTGAGACTGCCCTGCTTAAAGTCACCAATGACCTTTTAATGTCTGCTGATGGAGGTATGTGCTCAGTCCTGGTACTCCTGGACCTTAGCGCTGCTTTTGACACCATTGATCACAACATCATGTTAGACAGACTGAGGCACTGGGTGGGGATCTCTGGTACTGCCCTAGAATGGTTTTCATCCTACCTGTCAAATAGGAAGTTTTGTCTGTCTGTAAACAACTATGTCTCTTCGTTCTGTCCAGTTAAATATGGTGTGCCTCATCAGGGGTCGGTCTTTGGACCCATTTTGTTTTCCTTGTATCTGCTTCCCCTTGGACACATTATCCATAAACATGGTATTTCTTCATATTTATGCTGATGACACACAAATATACTTGCCAGTCAGATCCACAGACCCTGGAATGCTGAGTTCACTTACCGACTTTGTGAAGTTAAAAAATGGATGTCAAATAATTTCCTCCAGCTGAACTCAGACAAAACAGAAATCCTGGTCATCGGGTCCCAGCAGATGACCAGCAGATGCAAAGAACCTTGGTGTCTGGTTTGATAGTAATTTAAATTTTGAGCAGCACACCTCAAGGCTTGTTCAATCATGTTTTTATCAACTTAGAAATATAGCAAAAATGTGATCTATCACCGAGACCATTTTACACACCTTCATCTCATCACGCCTGGATTATTGCTACAGCCTTTTCACTTGTTTATCCCAAAAATCTACTGATCGACTCCAGACTGTCCAGAACTCAGCTGCCAGGCTTTTAACCAGAACAAAGAAATATGACCACATTACCCCTATTTTAGCTTCACTACACTGGCTCCCAGTATGTTTTAGAATTGACTTTAAAATTTTATTGATCACTTTTAAAGCTCTTCATGGCCTCTCACCTTGTTATATTTCTGACCTTTTAGTCCCATACACACATTTATTCTATTTTACTTATTTTATATTTATCTTAAACGTGTATTTTAGTCTTTTCAATGATTTCTTGCTTTTATTTGCTTGTATTTTTTTTGTATTATTGTTTTTGGGGTATTATTGTCTTTACACTTGTTAAAGCACTTTGTAACTTGTTTTTGAAAAGTGCTCTACAAATAAAGATTATTATTATTATTATTATTATGTGGTTTAGTCCAGTGGCTCCGAACTTAGTGGTTGCGCCCCTTTATAGGTAAATTGGAGGGGTCATGGATGATTAAAGAAGAAAAAACAAAGTTCTGCTACAAATTGTATTCATGTTTTGGACTTCTCTAATCTTTCCTCTTTTGGGAAATACTGGATGATTTTATTTAATTATTAAAATGAAAGCACGTAAGCTTAGAGGGGAAATGTCTCTTTGGTGGAACGGCTAACAAGTCATAGACATCTGAAACATGACAAGGGAAGATTGGGAACTACTGGTTTAATCTTTAACAATGTGTTGTATTTTTTAACCTTATCATATGTTTTTTAAATGTAAAATCTTAATCTGAAAAGTATTTGTAACTTTAACTGCCAGGTAAATGTTGTGGAGTAAATATATATAATGTTTTGTTCTTAAAGGTTCAGTGAGCAATATTTAAGAGGATCTATTGACAGAAATGCAATATAATATACATGACTATGTTTACAGTGGTGTATAAAGACATAATGAACCGTTGTGTTTTTATGACCTTAGAATAAGTCATTTCTATCTACTCCCCTTACATGGTGATGCCATGTTGCAGCACCATGTTTCTAGAGTAGCCCAAACTGAAAAAATGGCACTACGGAGCACGTTTTGTCACTACGTTGAATACATAAGAAGAAGAAGTAATATTATTATTAGTAGTAAGATTTGTCTCGTTTATTAGAAGTAAGAAACAAAGAGAAATTTTGATAAATAAAGGACCACATGTATTATTTAGCACAAGAGCTGACAGAACGTGTCGGTCACTGTAGCTTCTCCTGCGAGGTTGGAAAGGGATGTGTGAGCAATGACTCACCATTCATGTGGTGTCAGAATCTTTTCTTCCTCTTTAAATTTTGACATAAAAAAGTATACAGAACTTGGATTCATGTAAAATCACATATTGCATACACATGTTTGGCAACCATGTTATTTGTAAAATTATTATAATGAGTGAACTAGATGTCTGCATGTTTTTTATATTCCCTGATAATGCTAATCTAATGCATCTTTGTAGTAGCGTCCATGTTGATTTCACATTCCAACTTAAGAGCACATGAACAAACACTGAAGTCTGAAGAAGGACTTCACAACTCGGGAAATGGGACCATCCGAGGAGCATGTGAATGCACTTTAAGCTGCTGGCTGTAATTCGCAACCCTCACCACTAGATGCCACTAAAACTTACACACTGAACCTTTAAATGTAGTGAGTTGATGGATATAGTAGCATCAAATGTAAATACTAAGTACTTAAGAATTTATTAATGAATTGTCCTGGAAACTTTGGAATGAATACATGTAATAATGAATGGCATGTTCTCTTAACTGCCCTTGTGAAGGTGATGCACGTCCTTCTTCATACAGTAGCAGGAAATGTTCCACTGCTGAACTCTCCCATTGTGTTGCTTCTGCAGTGGAAGAATAAATCAGAGACCAATAACGGAAACATTAGTCTTTATGATTGGCATTGCTTCATTTTAATGAGAAACATTAGGCTAGATAGAGCTGGCTAACTGCATCACAATTGATTAGGGTAAGAGCCAACAATAACACGAGTTCAGATAGCTGTTTCTTATCTTGTTGCAGTGCTGTTATCAGTTAAATCACACACTCAATCCTCAGTCACAAAGGTAACAGAATACAAATGTTCTTGTTTTTCATGGCTGTTCATCATTTATGGACTGGGGCGCTACCACGACAGAAGCCTCTCTGGAAATGTAGAGTTCACCCGCGCATGTGATGAGGTGTTTGACTTAATTGACTCTCCTCTGTTTTACTATAACCTAGATGAATAGATGTTGGGATACAGCTAACATGTTTACGTAATGTGACATTAAATTACTAGCTGTCATTCTTGCTAGTATCTGTATCTAGATTATTAAAATATTGTCTTACTGAATTGAATACTTCTTGTATCTGTCTTAAAGAAAACAGAGAAGTAGAGAAAGTACAGTGAAATAAAAAATGCCACTACACCACTGGTAGCAACCAATCACAGGTGAGACTACATGCAGCTGAGTTTAGGCATTATTAAGTGACCAGAAAAATACAAACCCCCTTTCCACACAGTAGCTCCGCTTTTATCTTGAGAAGTTGCACAGCTGCATGCTAAGTGTAACTTTCACTTCACATTTCCATAAAACTATACTGTGGCTTATTGTTGACCCTTTCTTTTCTTTCTTTTCACATTTTTATTTGCATCATTATATTTAGAAATTTATATTGTAATAGCTGTATATTAACTTATTGGGGGAAAACCAGTAGTTCTATCTAAACAATCTGAGAGAGTGACAATTGAATCAGGCTCCGCCCATCGAAGCATCTAATCTTCGACTATTCAGGGTCAGCCCTAAAATACTTCTGTAGTAAATGCCACATTTGTGACAACAAATATTATTTTATTATCGACACTGTATCCGAGATGTGTTGATTTTACTTTATGATCATTTTTATGGCATTGTTAAAGTTTGTAGTTTGTGTTGTTATTGTATTGGAGTGCACTATATTGTAAGATATCAGTATATACTCTTATTTTGCCATAGATCATTTCTATATAACACAGTCATGGCTGACTTATTTTTGTTGAAACACAGAGTTAATTTGCCATCTCTTATTCAAAATAAAAGGAATATATACAAGATGTAATCTTGGACTTCATTATAGAAAAGTGGTCTCATTTTCTAAACCATAACATTACAGTTGACATCAATAACCGAACAATAGTAGTAACATTGTAGTTTTTAGCACTAGCCACCATAGAAAAGAAGCTAATAGGCCATGTATATATTTTCATTTTAGATGTTGTAGTCTAGTCCCACATGAAGTCACAGGAAATTAACTGATAATAATAATTTCCTTGGAATAAAATCTTACTGGCTGTCATATTGGAATTAGGGGGTCATATGTATTGCATCCTAATGAGAGACCGTCTGCCTGTAAACATCTAGGGCTGAATCGGAGCACCATATCGCTCGTCCTTTGTTGTCTAGGCAACGGCTCGTTCCTATCTACCCAGCTGTCGTCATGCACAAATGGAGGAGCCAGCAGTATGAACTACTGCTAGAGGGCCGTGTAATTCTGTTTCTATGTCTGCAAGTGACCCCCAGCGTGACGTGAGTATGACCTGTGCCCAAGGGCGTTCCTTTGTGTTGAAAATTGGTGAGGACATAAAGGCTCAGATAATAAAAACAAATATAAAATCAAATGGTCTTAAGCATATGCGATTTTTGGAATTGTAACAGGGATCTGTGAGGTCAGGAAAAATATTGCTCAACGGCCAATCAAAAGTCCATAGCGTAGGCTACATTGAGTTGATAATACGAATGTACTCAGCATAAAACCATGTTGACCATTACATCCACACTTGCAACACCATGTTAATTAAACACGGCCAAAACTACATAGAAAGCACCAGTGTTGCGGTGGCAGCCCGGCTGACGGTGAGTGCCCTGTGCTCTTCTGTTTCTTTTTTTACTTAGTCTCGCATTTCTGTTTTCTCCCCTGTGTCTCCTCGCCTCTCCCTCTGTGTGTGCTCTCTCCCTCTCCGCCCTGGAGCCCGGCTGATGACCCGCACCTGTGTCTCATCAACCTCCACCTCCGCCCGCCACACCTGCCTGCCATCAGCCTCATCTTCAACAGTATTTCTACCCCGGTTCTCCATCTCCATCTTCGCTTGATCGTCGTCGCTCCAGTCCTGGTGCCACTTCTACGTTCCAAGCTCGCAGATACCTTGTCCCCTAACCTGTTGTCTCCCGAGACTAACCCTGTCTTTTCTTTCTCCCCGCCAGGTCCACTCACCTCCGCCATCCAGTCAGTCAGCCGGGCTCGCCTACCTGCCTTCTCCCCTCGCCTCCGCGGCGTCCCTCCGGCTTCCCTCCGCGCTCCTCACCTCCCTCGCCTCGGCCTCCAGCCCCCTCTCAGTCGCCTCGCTCGAGCCTTGCCAGCCCCGCCTGCTCCTCGGTCCTCCGTGCCCACGTCTGCCGGCGTCCTGTTCACCTCATCTTACCTCCCGACTCCCCTCTTTTCCCTCAATAAACCTCTTTTGTAAACTGACAAGCGTTGCGTTTGGGTCCGTTCTGTCCGCACCCATAACACACCAGTGCATGTACGTCAGCCCAGTGATGATAACTATAGGCCTATCCAATATCACTGCCCAAAATTATGACTAAATACAAATACATTAAGGGATAACATTAACAATGTTATCAACAGATAATAAATCAACCTTATGATAAGTTAAACTGCCTTGTTGTTTCACGCTACATACATACAAAGAAACAAGATTCAAACCCAACTCAACAGCGTGGCTGTTTGTCATGTTTACAGGGAGAGAATGGAAATCTTGGACAGGTGCAGAATTTTTTTTAAGTTACTGATCAGTGCATGCATGTTTTAGGGTCATTTTAGATTCAGTACTTTTTTTGGATTTCACTTGTTAACATTTCTTGGGGCAAGCTATTTTTCAGAACATTTTAACAAATTATGCTTTTTAAAAGTGATGGGGACATGTCCCCAGCATCCCCAGTGTAAATTACACCTATGCCTGTGTCTACTTTTTTACCTACCAAGGTCCTCTTAGGAAAATTCCTTCACAGTAACAGAATGCTATGTTTACAAGTTAATGTTTGAGTATTAATGTTATAATATGCAAGGCAGTATAGTGGTGACTACATTTGTACATACTTTAGATATTTGTAAATATTATAGACAATGTAATGAGGTCTTTGAGAGTTCCTGTTGCTTGTTCAAGTTAACTGGCAGACCTTGTCTCGACCTTGCATAGCTGCTGTAAGAAAGAGAGTTTGGTTCTGCTGTGTGTCTGCTCCGAGCAGGACGCGGGGAGACAGCTGCTGCTGTATGCAGCTACAGTGGAGAGTCCCGGAAAAAAGATACAGAGAGCAAAAAGTGAGCGAAGGTTTTGTTGACCAGGTGACGTCATGGTTCATAAGTCACAGGTCACGTTAACGTAGCTGAAAGCTAAGTCCATGGATGGAGTTCACACCTTGGTGTGAATTCCTGGAGGACTGCGCGAAACTGAGTTTGATGACTCACGATAAAAGTTTAGATCACACAAATGAACAACTTTATCTGTTTTCCCATCACTTATTAAAGCTTCCTATTAGTCTATGTGATCTTATTTACATATTATTGGTTTAAATAACTCTACCAGCAGTTGCAGCTGGGTGATGTTACAGGCTGTGAGTGCCTTTGTTTGTTCCTTCTGTCTTGATGTGCAGTAAGAAGCCAAAATGCTCAAAACATTAGCTGAAAACTGTGGAGAACAAGAGCAATCACTTTATTAAGTATACTTGCATAATCTGATGCAATGTTTTGTCCACCTTTATTTGCATACAGGAGAGGGGCAGAATGTTAACATTTCAGTGTTATTATGCAATCCAACACCATTAACTGCAGAATTACCATAGTGTTGAATCAACACCTCTCTGAGACTGTATAAAAACCACTGAACATCATAAGCTTCACAAAGGTAGGATTTATTGCAGGGCTATTGGATCAGGTGTAGAGCATGTAATAAAATTTAGTGTATGGTTGTTATAAAGTGTATTTACCCACAAAATGCAAATTTTATCTGACAGGCACATTGTTCTTCAAAACTGGAGATGTTCATTGGGTCAGCTCAGTACTTTGACTGACTGTCTTGTCTCCCTAAAACTGGTGAGATGATGGTGCAGCTGCACAACAAAAACAAAACAAAAAAAATGTGTTTCATCTGTGTGATTTAGTGTCTTTTGCAATTTGCACTACAACTTAATGTGTTTATGGGCTCTGATGCAAACCCTTACTTGATGCTAATACTTGCAAAAACTCTTTTGGCTCCTTGTCTTATGTCGCATTACTGTCTTCTGTAGTACTGCAACTGAAGTTGGGAATCTAACAATGTAACTATACCTGCAACTCAGAGCAGAGCCGAGATTGATGGGGTTTAATCAGCTCTTGGTCAAGAAGAAAAAACCCCAGTGACCGTAATGTGTTACCTGATCTAATAACAACATCCATAACAAGGATAATATTAATTCTACGTTGGGTAGGGTAGGGTAAATTTCGTGCATTTTCCTTAGCAGAGAAGAGAACACGTTAACAATCAATACAGAAGAATAATTAAAAATAGGATACAAAACACATGTCTGTTTCTTTGTTTTATTATAACTATTCTGGCAGCCAGGGGGCCCGCCAAGAATTTTGGGCCCCCCTGCGCGGCTGTTGTCACCACTTCTCTAGGACTTAGCTGTCCCATCAAAATCTTTACATAACTCTAATTAAAGGCTTGCAAGTGTCTGGCTTCTTGTAGTTCAATATGAGTACTAGCACAATATTTACTGCTGGTGATTTGTACATGCAAGTCTGCATACAGGATGCAATTCACTATTTGCTTCTCAAATAAATTGCCCTTCATGATGGGAATAATAAAGTCTGTATCTATAGATTTCATTTAACGGCCATAATTCAATCTAAATGAACGTATCAAACTGGATTATTTTAATATAGTCTGTAACTTACATGCAGGCTGAGGTAAGCTGCTGTCCAGCATCCAGTACAGACAGGAAGGTGTTTTTGTTATTTTTTTTATTTCATAATGATCATTATGTGAGAAAATAATTTGTGTTTGAATTTCTGTCATTAATTAATATTTTGTTTATTTTTTGTAATGATAAAAAGAGCAAGAGAGACAGAGAAATCGCCACAGAGTCCCTGGAATAGCTGGCCTGTCATTAACACAGCTCACCTTCTTCACTGGGACAGGGAGGCTACAGTTATGGGGAGACTGGGCTGCTGCTGACTCATCTGCTGTTAGTCTGCTAAAAGGGGCAGGGACAATGATTTAATATGAATATCTTGCTAAATGTTTCCCTGCACTGATTAAATGTTGATGAAATAGGCAAACACTAGTCTGTAGCTAGCAAGCTTATTTCACTGTGGACATTAATCCAACAGGTTAACACCACTCACAGACTAAAGGCCGCCCACCTTTCTTGGTGAAAAACTGGTACTGAGTGACATCCTGTCCTTTGTCTTCCCTCTTTCTTTTCTCTCTTTCCTTTTTTGAAAACCAGATTTTGGTTTACTAGGCAACATTGTGATCACTGTATTTCTGCCGCATCTACTGACTGCAATCAAATACAGTCACTGATGAGTGTGCTAAGGCAGGATCAAATCATTTCACGCAGATACAGGGTGGTGGTCGGTTAATATGTAGGTTTGCTTTTTGGTCAATGGGGATTTTTAACATTTACTGCCAAAAACAAGCAATAACAAAGAGATCATTCATTTTATTATTATATTTGAAATATATTTATACTCAATGATCATGGTTTATATAATGTATAATATTAATATAATTTGATATTAGTTTATAATTATTTTTTGGGGCCCCTGTCAGTCAGGCCCTTGGAATTGTCCTAACCCCCCCCTATAGGGCGCCCATGCTGGCAACACATCAGTTATGTGAAACATTCATTCATGAAACACAAACAATTTGCACTTCAACTGTGGGAGGCTGATTTTTCAGGTGGCTGTACTTTTTTGGACGATATATTGTTACAGAAATAATTGGGATAAACAATATTATTGTAATTTTTAGGACCATTTAATGCCACTTATAAAACATAATAATAACAGTACTCGAGTTATACGGTGTTTGGGAAATATAGCAATTAAAACACCTAATAGCCTCGAGTAACATGTTATCTTCACCTGTCGCCGTCCACTCTATGTGTGTGGAGGAGCTGCCTGAGCCCCAACTCCGACACACAGAGCAGACGAGAGGACAGAAGAAATGTTGCAATGTTCATTTTTATGTAAACAAGCATGCATGTAAACACAATGGGCAATATCGAGGTCAGCAGAAAGGATCGAGGTCATGTAACTATGTCGTACGATAAGTCATTAATGTTATGTAATTATTGTGACAGGCCTATATTTACAGTGTAATACTCCCATGCTGGACTGCGTTTTCCCCTCTTCACCCCCCTGCCTCACCAAGTCCCACTGTCCTCTTCTTCCTTTGTTGTGCCGGTCGTTTTTCTGACAGTACACCCTCTTGCGCTATAAAAGTTAATATGCGTGAGCTCTGGAGACATAGTATACCAAATCAGTTAATATATTTTTAATTAGTTCAATTCTTAACAGCAATTAATGATTAACATCCCTAGTAGGAATTGTAACATATTTTAGTGAGTGTAGTAGTGGGATAAAAGTTGTTTATCAATCAATAACCATAGCACAGTGGAGTGAGCTCATATGTGTAAAATAACATCTTGATCAGTGTTTAAGTTTAAATCACAGGTCACTCTTTCTATCAGAATCAAGTTTTCCTAAATCACCTATCATTTGCTGGTCTTGTCCAAGATGACTTTCCAGAAGATCTTTTATCCTTCACTGATAGACTAAATCCTCTTTCAACTATGAGTTCATTTCTGACCATTAACTCTCAATTTCTGTTGCTAGGCACCCAGCTGGTTATGTCTCCAGGTGTATTTTTCCTGAGAAAGACTTGTTTTCCACTGTGACAGCATGTGTCAAAGCCTGCATATAAGAGAGAGATGATCCGAACCTACCCAGTAGCTGAAAGTTTGCGATAAAAGCACAGTGGCCACAGTTGGAACAGCAACCAGGACTTACTAAATGAACTAAGTGAGACATTTTCTGATCATCACACACAAGCAAAAATGATGATTGATGATGAATTATGTCTGTTGAAACCATTAGGTTCAATAAATATTTAAAAACAACCAAGAGTTGTAAGACTGATCTCAAAGACATATTAGTTTGCTGTATTATTGTTGTTTTTTTACATATATAAACATTTTTTGGCCTGCTAGTAGAGCTACAACTAACAACTATTTTGATAATTGAATAATCTATCCATTATTGAAACGAATAATCAACTTTTCCAATTTTGAATCACAAAATTACTCAATGCATCTTATTTAACTATCAGCTTTTAAATTTAGCTTGAGGGTGTTTTAGCGATGTGCTAATTAACAATTAAGACAATAAAATGAATACTGCATACAAAAATACATCTTTTAATGCTA